CACCATTGTTTCTGTAAACTTCACACTAGTGAGTCATGGGTGTTATTTCTTTATAATGCACACATCAGGAAATTCAAGCACATTCATATACTGTGTCTCTATTTTGGAAATAATTCCAGTGATATCAGACGCTGGGTGTTAGGAGATCTTCTTTTTGTTGTTTCTGCTTTTGTTTTTAAGACATGAAGGGGTCCTGTGCTTCAGGCATGGCAGTTGTCTCCAGGTCTTTGGATTGTCTTTCTCCTAAGACCCTGTGCTCTCTGACCCCACACCTTTCACCAGACCCATTTGGATTGGACAGCTTTTTATATGTGTGCATGCATATGTGTATGCACGTTTGAGTGCATATGTGGGATTGTGTGTGTGCATATTTGTGTACAGGTGTGTGTGAGATTTTGTTTGTGTCCATGCATGTGTGTATATGTGATCTCTTGCCCCAGAACTGGCCATACCTTAACTTCTTCCTCAAGAGCTTCACTGTACCATTCTTCCCAAGATCTAGCACCATCTCAACCCGTCGGTCACCCTGGACTCTTGCTGTCGACTGCTTGTTCTAGTCTTGCTTCAGGGTTCAGTCCCGATAGGACACAGATCACTGTGTAGATGTGTGCAGGCTATCGTCATTTCATTTCTACAGTTTTCATTTTGTACACACTTGTATTTGTTTGTTAACAGTGTGACAAATTACTGCCGATTTGGGGGTTTAAAACAGCACAAATAAGGCCAGGCGCGGTGGCTCACGCCGTAATCCCAGCACTTTGGGAGGCTGAGGCGGGTGGATCACGAGGTCAAGGGATCAAGACCATCCTGGTCAACATGGTGAAACCCCGTCTCTACTAAAAATACAAAAACTTAGCTGGGCATGGTGGCGCGTGCCTGTAATCCCTGCTACTCGGGAGGCTGAGGCAGAATTGCCTGAACCAGGAGGCGGAGGTTGTGGTGAGCCGAGATCGTGCCATTGCACTCCAGCCTGGGTAACGAGCGAAACTCCGTCTCAAAATAAATAAATAAATAAATAAAACAGCACAAATGGATTGTCTTACAGTTCACAAACCCAAAACAGGTCTCACTGTGCTAAAGTCAGGGTGTCGTTGGGGCTGGCTCCTTCCAGAGGCTTTGGGGGAAAACTTGTTTGTGCCTTTTCCAGCTTCTAGAGGCCACCACAGGCCTCAACTCCCAGCTCCCTTTTCTGTCTTGAGAGCTGGTGACCACGGCAGGTTGGTGCATCATCACCCCAACTTTTCTCTCTCTAGCTTAGTTAAGGAAAGTATTTACATGAGTATGCCCCAAGAATCCAGGATAATCTCTCTTCTGAAGTCCATCTGGTTAGTAACCTCAATTCCCTTGGCTGTATAGCCTAATGTGTGCAGAGGTTCTGGGGATTAGCATGTGGACATCTCAGGGAGAGAGTAACTCTGTCACTATCGAACCCTGGGGTATTTAGACTCCTCATTGTTAAGCTCATGAGTATTATTTTATGTAATTGGTGCAAAAGGGCAGTGCTGGGTGCTCTGATAATTTAAAAGTGAGAGAAACAAGATGAGTGTTACCCTTTAAAATGGACACACCGTGGATTAGAGATGTATGTTTCTTCCACAGTTACTTGAAAGAAATTTTGGTGCAATGCCTGGAGGAAGCCATAACTGTTTCAGCATTTGACATAATGTATCCAAAACAGAATGTATGTTTCTCCCCTGCCAAACCTGTTCTTCCCCAGCTTAGTAAGTGGGTCTCTTGTTGCTCAGGCCAGAAATCTAGGAGCTACTCCTGATTCCTCAAATCCCTCTTCAACCAACCCATATTGGCTTCTGTTGTTCCCAGCTCAGAAATAACGTGGTGTCCAGTTGTTTAAACCCTGCTCTTAGGCTCCAGCACCAATGATCTTTTGAAAAATAAAAGTTTTAAATTTATAGATATTTATTTCATTAAAGTTTTTGTTTCTCTTTCTTGATACTTTTGTACATCTAAACAATAGTATATATTTAAACAAGCAGAGACATTTGTTATTTTTGTTGTCTCAGCATCCACCTCCTCTTTTGGCAAAAGCACCTGGATTTCCTCTGGGCTACCACCCTTCTCCCTCTGCTGGCCAGGACTCAGTGGAGAGGTTTGTGTCCCAGGCCCGACTCGTGGCAACATTTCATCTTTCTGATCACGTGATTAATTTAAAGATGGAAAGTGTCTCAGACTGGCCCAAACTCAGGAGAAATGTTCAGGGATCAATGGAAAGAGATGCTTTCTTCCCCAGTGCCCTGGAACACAGGAGCCCATGGACGGGTTCTGCTGGCCGTTTTGCCACCATGTAGGAAGGGACAGTGAGCAGCACCTAGATAGTGAGGAGCTGAGCGTGGAGGAGACCAGGGGTTGGTCTTGACAGTGTCAATGAAGCTGCTGCTACCAATCGTACAGATTTTTCTTTTTTTTTTTTGAGATGGAGTTTCACTCTTGCTGCCCAGGCTGAAATGCAGTGGCGCGATCTCGGCTCACTGTAACCTCCGCATCCCTAGTTCAAGTGATTCTCCTGCCTCAGCCTCCCAAGTAGCTGAGATTACAGGCATGTGCCACCACACCCAGCTAATTATTTTGTATTTTTAATAGAGAAGGGGTTTCTCCATGTTGATCAGGCTAGTCTCGAACTCCTGACCTCAGGTGATCTGCCTGCCTTGACCTCCCAAAGCGTTGGGATTACAGGTGTGAACCACTGAGCCCTGACATGTGCAGACTTTTAAATTACATTTTAATCCCCTTTTCTTTCAGTTGAATTAGGCTGAGCTTGCTTTCTCTTCTGAGACACAAAGTAAACTTACTTTTCAGTGTCATTTTTTTAAAACATCTGCCTTGTGTTCTACTCAGCTTAAGAACCGTTGCTACATTTCATATTATAATCAATGTTATGATGGACAACCTTGAGGAAATACATTTTGGGAAAGGTAAAATGATTTACTTGTTATAAATTTAGAATTATTGTAGAATAAAAACAGAATTTTTGATTGCCAGATAGTTTATGTCAGTTTATCCTCTTACCAGCAGTGTATGCGGAAATGTTTCTATGTGTGTGCATTGATTTTTTTTCAAGTGAGATGAGATAGTTTATTGAAAGCTATTCAGTTATAGAGTGGGGAATCCTCAGAAAGCAAGTAGAGGAACACACTCATTTTTATAAGGTTTTTAATACTCTCTACGTAAAGACTAAACTGAGCTGTGCATACATGCAAGTGAGCTGACAGCATGACACAATTTATTATTCTCTCGATTTAAAGAAAAGTATCCTTGATATTTTAGTGCCTAAGTACATCAAAGCATGACTACACTTACCTTGAAAGCATATGTTGTTCTGTGTACTGAGCCATCTGGACTTGCTGTTGCAGGAATTACCACGCTGGTTCCTTAGCTGTAACCATCTTAGGACCATGGATTGTGACTGGCAAGGAATGTGCCTTGTTAGTTTCAAGTCGGAGTTGACTTTAAAATGGGGTCACTGTAGCTCTCCTGGGCTCCTGTTTCCCTAATCGCATGAGCTCAGGAGTTTGAGGCCACATTGAGCTATGATTATAATACTGCTGTCCAGCCTGGGCAGCAGCAAGACACCATCTTAAAAAATATTTAATAGACTTTTGTTGTTATTTTTTTTTGAGATGGAGTTTCGCTCTTTTCACCCAGGCTGGAGTGCAATGGCGCGATCTTGGCTCACCGCAACCTCCGCCTCCTGGGTTCAGGCAATTCTCCTGCCTCAGCCTCCTGAGTAGCTGGGATTACAAGCACGCGCCACCATGCCCAGCTGATTTTTTGTATTTTTAGTAGAGACGGGGTTTCGCCATGTTGACCAGGATGGTCTCGATTTCTTGACCTCCACCTGCCTCAGCCTCCCAAAGTGCTGGGATTACAGGCTTGAACCACCGCGCCCGGCCTGACTTTTGTTATTCTTCATGTAGCACTTTAAAAAAATTCACTTTAAGTTCTGGGATACATGAGTAGAAGTGCAGGTTTGTTACTTCAGTATACATGTGCCATGGTGGTATGCTGTATCTGTTAACCCATCATCTAGGTTTTAAGCACTGCCAGCATTAGGTATTTGTTCTAATGCTGTCGCTGCCCCCCCCACCACTCCCCTGACAGGCCCTGGCATGTGATGTTCCCCTCCCTGTGTCCACGTGTTCTCATTGTTCAACACTCACTTATGAATGAGAACATGTGGTATTTGGTTTCCTGTTTCTGTGTTAGCTTGCTAAGGATGATGGCTTCCAGCTTCATCCAGGTTCCTGCAAAGGACATGAACTCATTCTTTTTTATGGATGCGTAGTATTCCATGGTGTATATGTGCCACATTTTCTTTATCCAGTCTATCATTCATGGGCATTTGGGTTGGTTCCAAGTCTTTGTTACTGTAAATAGTGCTGTAATACACATATCTGTGCATGTGTCTTTATAGCAGAATGATTTACAATCCTTTGGTTATATATCCAGTAATGGGATTGCTGGGTCAAATAGTATTTCTGGTTCTAGATTCTTGAAGAGTAGCCACACTGTCTTCCACAATGGTTGATCTAATTTACACTCCTACCAACACTGTAAAAGTGTTTCTATTTCTCCGCAATCTTGCCAGCATCTGTTGTTTCCTGACTTTTTTTTTTGAGACGGAATCTCACTCTAGTCACCAGCCACCCAGACTGGAGTTCAGTGGTGCAGTCTTGGCTCACTGCATCCTCTGCCTCCCAGATTCAAGTGATTCTCTTACCTCAGCCTCCTGAGTAGATGGAATTACAGGCATGTGCCACCACGTCTGGCAATTTTTTAGTAGAGACTGGGTTTCACCTTGTTGGTCAGGCTGGTCTCGAACTCCTGACCTCATGATCCACCCATCTTGGCCTTTGAAAGTGCTGGGATTACAGGTGTGAGCCAACATGCCTGGCTGTTTCCTGACTTTTTAATTTTTAAAAAATTTTTATTTTTTATTTTTTTAAAAATTTATTTATTATACTTTAAGTTCTGTTCAGTTCTTGCAGGTTTGTCACATAAGTATACACATGCCATGGTGGTTGTTTACTGCATCCATCGCCCCATCATCTACATGAGGAATTTCTCCTACTGTTATCCCTCCCCAATACACCCACCCCCTGCTATTCCTTCCCTAGTCCCCACCCCCAGGCCCCAGTGTGTGATGTTCCCCTCCCTGTGTTCATGTGTTCTCATTGTTCAACACCCACTTATGAGTGAGAACATGTGATGTTTGGTTTTCTGTTCTTAGTATGCTGAGAATGATGGTTTCCAGTTTCATCCATGTCCCTGCAAAGGAAATGAACTCATCCTTTTTTATGGATACATAGTATTCCATGGTGTATATGTGCCACATTTTCTTTATCCAGTCTATCATTGTGGGCATTTCGGTTGGTTCCAAGTCTTTGCTATTGTGAACAGTGCTGCAATAAACATACATATGCATGTGTCTTTATAATACAATGATTTATAATCCTTTGGGTATATACTCAGTAATGGGATTTCTAGGTCAAATGATACTTCTATTTCTAAATCCTTGAGGAATCACCACACTGTTTTCCACTGGTTGAATTAGTTTCCACTCCCACCAACAGTGTAAAAACGTTCCTATTTCTCCACATCCTCTCCAGCATCTGTCTCCTGATTTTTTAATGATCGCCATTCTAAGTGGCGTGAGGTGGTATTTAAATGTGTTTTGATTTGAATTGCTCTAATGACCAGTGAAGATGAGCTTTTTTTCATATGTTTGTTGGCTGCATAAATGTCTTCTTTTGAAAAGTGTCTGTTCATATCCTTTGCCCACTTTTTGATGGGTTTGTTTTATTCTTGTAAATTTGTTTAAGTTCTCTGTAGATTCTGGATATTAGCCCTTTGTCAGATGGGTAGATTGCAAAAATTTTTTCCCATTCTGTTGTTTGCTGGTTCACTCTATTGACAGTTTCTTTTGCTGTGCAGAAGCTTTAAGTTTAATTAGATCCCATTTGTCTATTTTGGCTTTTGTTGCCATTGCTTTTGGTGTTTTAGTCATGAAGTCCTTGCCCTTGCCTATGTCCTGAATGGCACTGCCTTGGTTTTCTTATAGAGTTTTCATGGTGTTAGGTGTCATGTTTAAATCTTTAATCCATCTAGAGTTAATTTTTGTAAAAGGTGTAAGGAAGTGATCCAGTTTCAGCTTTCTGCATATGACTAGCCAGTTTTCCAAACACTGTTTATTAAATAGGGAATTCTTTCCCCATTGCTTATTTTTGTCAGGTTTGTCAAAGATCCATTGGTTGTAATTATGTGGCATTCTTTCTGAGGCCTCTGTTCTGTTGCGTTGGTCTATATCTCTGTTTTGGTACCAGTACCATGCTTTTTTGATTACAGTAGCCTTGTAATCAAGGTAGCTTAATGCCTCCAGCTTTGTTTCTTTGCTTAGGATTTTCTTGGCTATGTGGGCAATTTTTTGGTTCCACCTGAAGTTTAAGGTTGTTTTTTACAATTCCATGAAGAAAGTAATTGGTAGCTTGATGGGGATACCATTGAATCTGTAAATTACTTTGGGCAGTATGGCCATTTTCACGACATCGATTCTTCGGCATGAAGTGTTTTTCCATTGTTTGTGTCCTCTCTTATTTCCTTCAGCAGTGGTCTGTATTTCTCCTTGAATAGGTTCTTCACATCCCTTGTTAGTTGTGTTCCTAGGTATTTTATTCACTTTGTAGCATTTGTGAATGGGAGTTCACTCATGATTTGGCTCTCTGTTTATCTATTATTGGTGTATAGGAGTGCTTGCAATTTTTGCATGTTGGTTTTTTAACCTGAGACTTTGGTGAAGTTGCTTATCAGCTTAAGGAGATTCTGGGCTGAGATGACGGGGTTTTCTAAATATACAATCATGTCATCTGCAAACAGTGACAGTTTGACTTCTCTCTTCCTATTTGAATACCTTTGTTTCTTTCTCTCACCTGATGGCCCTAGCCAGAACTTCCAATGCTATGTTGAATGGCAGTGGTGAGAGAGGCATCCTTGTTTTGTGCCAGTTTTCAAAGGGAATGCTTACAGTTTTTGCCCATTCAGCATGATATTGGCTGTAGGTTTGTCATAAATAGCTCTTATTATTTTGAGATACAATACATCAATGCCTAGTTTATTGAGAGTTTTTAGCATAACGGGCTGTTTAATTTTGTCAATGGCCTTTTCTGCATCTATTGAGATAATCATGTGGTTTTTGTCTTTGGTTCTGTTTATGTGATGGATTATGTTTATAGATTTGCAGATGTTGAACCAGCCTTGCATCCCTGGGATGAAGCTGACTTGATCATGATGGATAAGCTTTTTGATTTGCTGTTGGATTTGGTGCCAGTATTTTATGGAAGATTTTTGTATCAAAGTTCATCATGGATATTGGCCTGAAATTTTCTTTTTTAGTTGTGTCTCTGCCAGGTTTTGGTATCAGGATGATGTTGGTTTCCTAAAATGAGATAGCGAGGATTCCCTCTTTTTGTATTCTTTGGAATAGTTTCAGAAGGAATGGTACCAGCTCCTCTTTGTACCTGTGGTAAAATTTGGCTGTGAACCCATCTGGTCCTGGACTTCTTTTGGTTGGTAGGCTATTAATTGCTGCCTTAACTTCAGACCTTGTTATTGGTCTATTCAGGAATTCAACTTCTTCCTGGTTTACTCTTGGAATGGTGTAAGTGTCCAGGAATTTATCCGTTTCTTCTAGATTTACTGGTTTATTTGCCTAGAAGAGTTTGTAGTAATCTCAGATAGTAGTTTGTATTTCTGTGGGATCAGTGGTGATATCCCTTTTATTATTTTTTATTGCATCTATTTGCTGCTTCTCTCTTTTCTTTTTTATTAGTCTGGCTAGCATTCTATTTTGTTGATCTTTTCAAAAAAACAGCTCCTGGATTTATTGCTTTTTTTGAAGGGCTTTTTTGTGTCTCTACCTCCTTCAGTTCTGCTCTGATCTTAGTTATTTCTCGTCTCCTGCTAGCTTTTGAATTTGTTTGATCTTGCTCCTCTAGTTATTTTAATCGTGAAGTTAGGGTGTCATTTTTATAGATTTCCTTGCTTCTCTGGTGGGCATTTAGTGCTATGAATTTCCCTCTACACACTGCTTTAAATGTGTCCCAGAGATTCTGTTACATTGTGTCTTCATTCTCATTGGTTTTGAAGAACATTGTTATTTCTGCCTTCATTTCATTATTTATCCAGTAGTCATTCAGGAGCAGGTTGTTTAGTTTCCATGTAGTTATGGGGTTTTGCATGAGTTTCTTAATCCTGAGTTCTAATTTGATTGCACTGTGGTCTGAGAGACTGTTTGTTATTATTTCTGTTCTTTTGCTGAGGAGTGTTTCACTTCCAATTATGTGGTCAATTTTAGAATCAGTGCAGTGTGGTGCTGAGAAGAATGTATATTCTGTGCTTTGGGGTGGATAGTTCTGTAGATGTTTATTAAGTCCACTTGGTCCAGATCTGAGTTCAAGTCCTGAATATCGTTGTTAATTTTCTGTCTTGTTGATCTGTCTGGTATAGACAGTGGGATGTTAAAGTCTCCCACTATTATTGTGTGGGAGTCTAAGTCTCTTTGTAGGTCATGAAGAACTTGTTTTATGTATCTGGGTGCTCCTGTATTGGTTGCATATATATTTAGGATAGTTAGCTCTTCTTGTTGCATGAATCCCTTTACCTTTATATAGTGCCCTTTGTCTCTTTTGATCTTCGTTGGTTTAAAGTATGTTTTATTGCAGACTAGGGTGCAACCTCCTTTTTTTTTTTGCTCTCCATTTACTTGATAAATCTTCCTCCATCCCTTTATTTTGAGCCTATGTGTCTTTGCAGGTGAGATGGGTTTCCTAAATACAGCACACCAATGGGTCTTGATTTTTATCCAATTCGCCAGTCTGCGTCTTTTGATTAGGGCATTTAGTCCATTTACATTTAAGGTAAGTATTGTTATGTGTGAATGTGATCCTGCCATTTTGATGCTAGCTGGTTGTTTTGCCCGTTAGTTGATGCAGTTTCTTCATAGTGTCGATGGTCTTTACAGTTTGGTCTGTTTTTGCGGTGGCTGGTACTGGTTGTCCTTTTCCCTGTTTAGTGCTTCCTTCAGTAGCTCTTGTAGGGCAGGACTGGTGGTGACAAAATCTCTCAGCATTTGCTTGTTGGTAAAGGATTTTATTTCTCCTTCACTTACGAAGCTTAGTTTGGCTAGATATAAAATTCTGGGTTGAAAATTCTTTTCTTTCAGGATGTTGAATATTGGTCTCCACTCTCTTCTGACTTGTAGAGTTTCTGCCAAGAGATCTGCTGTGAGTCTGATGGGCTTCCCTTTGTGGGTAACCCAACCTTTCTTTCTGGCTGCCCTTAGCATTTTTTCCTTCATTTTCTGGTAAAGCTGACATTTATGTGCCTTGGGGTTGCTCTTCTCAAGGATTACATTTGTGGTGGTCTCTGTATTTTCTGTATTTGAATGTTGGCCTGATTTGCTAGGTTGGGGAAGTTCTCCCAGATAATATCCCAAAGAGTGTTTTCCAACTTGGTTTCATTCTCCCCGTCACTTTCAGGTACACTGATCAAAAGTAGATTTGGTCTTTTCACATGATCCCATATTTCTTGGAGGCTTTGTTCGTTTCTTTTCATTCTTTTTCGTCTAATCTTGTCTTCTTGCTTTACTTCATTGAGTCGATCTTAACTCTGATATCCTTTCTGCTGCTTGATTGATTTGGCTATAGAAACTTGTATATGCTTCACGAAGTTGTCATGCTATGTTTTTGAGCTCCATCAAGTCGTTTATATTCTTCTCTATGCTGGTTGTTCTAGTTACCATTTTGTCTAACCTTTTTTCAAGATTCTTAATTTTCATGCATTGGGTTAGAACATGCTCCTTTAGCTTGGAGAAGTTGGTTATTACTTACCTTCTGAGGCCTGCTTCTGTCAATTCATCAAACTCATTCTCCATCCAGTTTTGTTCCCTTGCTGGTGAGGGACTGTGATCCCTTGGAGGAGAAGGAAGTGTTCTGGCTTTTGGTGGTTTCAGCATTTTTGCCCTGGTTCTTTCCTTTCTTCGTGGATTTGTCTACCTTTGGTCTTTGAAGTTGGTGACTTTTGCATGGGGTTTCTGAGTGGATGTCCTTTCTGTTGATGTTGAAGCTATTTCTTTCTCTTTGTTAGTGTTCCTTCTAACTGTCAGGCCCCTCTGCTGCAGGTCTGCTGGAGTTTGCTGGAGGTCCACTCCAGACCTTGCTTGCCTGGGAATCACCTACAGGGGCTGCAGAACAGCGAAGATTGCTGCCTGTTCCTTCCTCTGGTAGCTTTGCCCCAAAAGGGTACCTGCCAGATGTCAGCCAGAGCTCTTCTGTATGATGTGTCTCACAGTTAGTATATATGGTGGGGGGGGGGGTCAGTGAGCACTCGAGGAGGCAGCCTCTCCCTTAACAGAGCTCATGCAGTGTGCTGGGAGATCTGTTTCTCCATTCAGGGCTGCCAGGAAGGGACATTTAAGTCTGCTGAAGCAGAACCCACAACGGCCCCTTTTCCCAGGTGCTCTATCCCAGGAATGTGGGGGCTTTGTAAGTCCCTGATGGGCTGCTGTCTTTTTTTTCAGAGATGCCTGCCCAGCAAGAAGGGAATCTACGTGACAGTCTGGTGCAGAGGCCTTGCTGAACTGCTGGCTGGCTCCACCCAGTTGCTGTGAAAGCTTCCCCACAGCTTTGTTACACAGGCAATATTGAAACCGTGTGCCTGAGCCTCAGCAATGTGGGCGCCCCTCCCCCCACCAAGCTCCAACTTCCCGGGTTAAGCTCAGACTGCTGTGCTGGCTGCTAGAATTTCAAGCGGGTGGATCTTAGCTTGCCAGTCTTCGTGGGGGTGGTGCCTGCCGAGCCAGCTCACTTGGCTACCTGGTTTCAGCCCCCTTTTACAGAAGAATGAGCAGTTCTGTCTTGCTGGCATTCCAGGCACCACTTGACTAAGACAGCTGCCCAGTTTTGTGCTGGAAACCTGGGGTGCTGGCATGTAGGTGCTGGAGGGAATCTCCTGGTCTGCGAGTTATGTAGACCATGGGAAAAGCACAGTATCTGAGCTGCAGTGCCAGTGTCCAGAAAAGTTCCTAATGGCTTCCCTTGGCTGAGAGAGAGAGTTCTCTGGCCCCTTGTGCCTCGCAGGTGAGGTGATGCCCCACTCTGCTTTGGCTTGCCCACCTTTGGCCATTCCCACTGTTTAACCACTCCCAGTGACATGAACCTGTTACCTCAGTTGGAAATGCAGAGATCCCTGTCTTCTGGTGCACTCTCGCTGGGAATTGCAGACTGGAGCTGTTCCTATTCGGTCATCTGTTTTTTTTGAGACAGAGTTTCACTCTTGTCACCCAGGCTGGAGTGTACTGGTATGATCTCAGCTCACTGTAATCTCCATCTCCCAGGTTCAAGTGATGATTCTCCTGTCTCAGCCTCTTGAGTAGCTAGAATTACAGGTGCCTGCTACCATGCCTGGCTAATTTTTGTATTTTTATTAGAGACAGTGTTTCATCATGTCAACAACAAAAAAAGTTACCTAACAACTTAAAAAAATTTGAGGTCTTGAACTCGTGACCTCAGGAGATCCACCTGCCTTGGCCTCCCAAAATGCTGGGATTACAGGCATGAGCTACTGTGCCTGGCTGATATTTTTATTTTATAATAGTTTTTGCCAATTTGGTAAATGAAAACGGTACGCTTTTTTTTTTTGCATTTCTTGATTACTAATTAGTTAACTATTGATTTTATGTTTATTGGGCCCTGGTACTAATTCTTTTGTGAATATATTGCTTATTATTATCTCCCATTTTTGTTTATTGAAGTGTTAAAGTTTTTCTTATTTTTATAATAGTTTAAAAAAATATTAAGGTTCTTTGTTGTTGCAGATTTTTCACTATATTTGTATTTGTTTTTGATTTTTAATGTTTATTTGTATCCTGAGATCCATCTGAAATTTGTTTTTGTTATTTCTGAAATATCTCTTTAGTTCTCCTTGAACAATTAAAAAAACATTGTTTCTCATAATTTAAGATGATATTCCTGCATATATTATTCAAGTTAAGGTGGGTTCCTTTGTGTAGTTCTGCCTTGACAAGGTTTTCACCCTAATTGGGGATTTCTGGCAGCCTGATGGGTGGAAATTTGGTTGAGATGGCCTACTGCCCATAGCAAAGGAAAACTATGCCTATGTCTTGGGCAAAGCCAGCCAGAAGGGAGGGCACATCCCCAATGGTTTAGGACCTTTAGTCCTGAAGGGAGGGCACATCCCCAATGGTTCTCAAGTCAGAACAAGTAGAGTAAGTGTGTTTTGGAGATATCTGGGCTCTTCCTGGGCAGTGTTTTGGGCCACATAGAGCTGGGTGACATTGATAGGGTGCTGAGCCAGTCAGAGCAGAGTGAATCTCAAGCAGGCATTGAATATGTGTCCCTTTTCTTCCTCACAGCACATGGCCTTTGCTGCTGATACTCGCAGGTCAGATACGGCTGTGGGGACAGAGCCCTGTGTGTGCTGCTGTGGGGATGTAGACTAGGGGTTGGAAATGTGAATTCTAGCTCCTAATTAGTTTTATTACTTATTAAGCCCTGACTTTTTTTTCTGTCTGTAAATGGGGGAAAAAACTTACCTAGCAACTTAAAAATTTTCAATAGTTTTTGAGGCAAAGTTCATTTTTGGTTACATGAATAAGTTCTTTAGTGGTGATTTCTGAAATTTTGGTGAGCCTGTCACCCAAGCAGTGTACACTGCACCAAATTTGTAGTCTTTTATCCCTCATCCCCATCCCACCCTTCCTAGAGTCCCCAAAGTCCGTGATATCATTCTAAGGCCTTTGTGTTCTCATAAGCTTAGCTTATAAGTGAAAACTTAAGATACCTTGTTTTTCATTTTGAAGTTACTTCACTTAGAATAATGGTCTCCATCTTTATCCAGGTTGCACAAAAGCCATTAGTTCATTCCTTTTTATGCCTGAAGACTATTCCATGGTGTATACATACCACAGTTTCTTTATCCACTTGGTTGATGGGTATTTAGGTTGGGTTCATATTTTTGCAATTGCAAATTGTGCTGTTATGAACATGCATGTGTAGTGTCTTTTTCATATAATGACTTCTTTTTCTCTGGGTAGATACCCAGTGGTGGGATTGCTGGATTGAATAGTAGTTCTTTTAGTTATTTAAGGAATCTTCATACTATTTTCCATAATGGTTGTACTAGTTTACATTCCCACCTGCAGTGTAAAAGTGTTCCCTTTTCACCACATCATGCCAACATCTATTATGTTTTGATTGTCTTAATTATAGCCATTCTTGTAGGAGTAAGATGGTATGTCATTGTGGTTTTGATTTGCATTTCCCTGATTATTCGTGATGTTGTGAATTTTTTCATATGTTTTTTGGCCATTTGTATATTTTCTTTTGAGAATTGTCTATTGATGTCCATTGCCCACTCTTTGATGGTATTGCTTTTTTTAAATCTTGCTGGTTTGTTTGAGTTCCTTATAGATTCTGGATATTAGTCCTTTGTCAGATGCATAGTTTGTGAATATTTTCTCCCATCGTCTGTGTTGTCTGTTTACTCTGCTGATTATTTCTTTTTCTCTGCCAAAGCCTTTTAGTTTAATTAGGTGCCTTTATTTATTTTTGTTGGTTATTGTTGCATTTGCTTTTGGGTTCTTGGTTATGAACTCTTCACCTAAGCCAGTGTCTAGAAGAGGTTTTCTGATGTTATAGAATTTTTATCATTTCAAGTCTTAGATTTAAGTCTTTGATCTATCATAAGTTTACTTTGTATAAGGTGAGAAATGAAGATTCAGTTTCATTCTTCTACATGTGGCTTGCCAGTTATCTCAGCATCAGTTGCTGAATAGAGTTTTCTTTCCCCACTTCATGTTTTTGTTCACTTTGTTGAAGATCTGTTAACTGTAAGTATTTGGATCTATTTCTGGATTCTCTGTTCTGTTCCATTGGTTTATGCACCTGTTATTATACCATTATCATGCTCTTTTCATAACTATAACCTTGTAGAAGAGTTTGAAGTCGGGTAATGTGATGCCTCCAGATTTGTTCTTTTTGCTTAGTCTTGCTTTGGCTATGCGGGCTCTTTCTTTTTTATTCCATATGAATTTTTGGATATTTTTTTCTAGTTCTGTGAAGAATGATGGTTGTATTTTGATGGGAATTGCATTGAACCTCTAGATGGCTTTTGGTAATATGGTCATTTTCACAGTATTGATTCTACCCATCCATGAGCATGGGATGTGTTTCCATTTGTTTGTGCCATTTGTGATGTCTTTCAGCAGTTTTGTAGTTGTCTTTGTGGAGGTGTTTTCACTCCTTTGTTAGGTATATTCCTAAATATATATATATATATTTTTTTTTTTTGCAGCTATTTTAAAAGGGGTTGAGTTCTTGATTTGAATCTCAGCATGGTCGTTATTGGTGTATAGCAGTGCTACTGATCTGTGTATATTGATTTTGTATCCTGAAACTTTGCTGAATTTAACTTTTTGGATGAGTCTTTAGCATTTTCTAGGTATGTGATCATATCATTGATGAACAGTGACAGCTGGACTTCTTCTTTTCTGATTTGGATGTTCTTAACTTCTTTCTCTTGTCTGAAGCTTTGTCTAGGACTTCCAGTAATATGCTGAATAGAAATGGTGAAAGTGGGCATCTTGTCTTGTTCTGTTTCTTTAGGAATGCTTTAAACTTTTTACCATTCAGTATGATATTGGCTATGGGCTTGTCATAGATGGCTCTTATTGCTTTGAGGTTTATCCCTTCTGTGACAGTTTTGCTGAGGGTTTTTATCATAAAAGGATGCTAGATTTTGTCAAATGCTTTTTCTGCATTTATTGATATAATTGTATGATTTTTGTTTTTAATTGTCTTTATGTAATGTGTCTCGTTTATTGACTTGTGAATGTTAAACCATCCGTGCATCCATGGTTTGAAACCCATTCGATCATGATGTATTGTCTTTTTTATATACTGCTGGATTTGGTTAGCTAGTATTTCATTGAGGATTTTTGCATTTATGTTCATCAGGGATATTAATCTGTAGTTTTCCTTTTTTGTTGTTTTTTTCCTGGTTTTGGTATTAGGGTAATATTGGCTTCATAGAATGATTTAGGGAGAATTTCCTCTTTATCTTTTGGAATAGTATTGGTAGGATTAGTACAAATTTTTTAAATGTCTTATAGAACTCGGATGTCAGTTAATCTGGTCCTGGACTTAATTTTGCTGGTAATTTTTAAAATTACTGTTTCAATCTTGCTTCTTGTTATTACTCTGTTCAGAGTTTCTATATCTTCCTGATTTAGTCTAGGAAGGTTGTGTATTTCCAGGAATCTATCCATCTCCTCTAGATTTTCCAGATTGTGTGCATAAAGGTGTTCACAGTAGCCTTGAATGATCTTTTGAATTTCTGTGGTATTGGTTATAATATCTCCCACTTATTTTTATTTGAGCTTATTTGGGTCTTCTCTCTTCTTTTATTGGTTAATCTCACTAAGTCTATCAATTTTGTTTATCAAAGTACCAGCTTTTTGTTTTATCTTTTTTTTTTTTTTTTAAGTTCTGCTTTTATCTTTGTTATTTCTTTTCTTTACTGCGTTTGGGTTTGGTTTGTTCTTTTTCCCTAGTTCCTTGAGGTGTGACATTAGATTGCCTATTTGTGCTTTCTCAGACTTTTTGATGTAGGCATTTGATGCTATTAATTTTCCACTTAGCACCCCTTGTACTGTATCCCAGAGGTTGTGATAAGTTATGTTACTGTTATTATTTAGTTCAAATAAGTTTTAATTTTTAAAAAAATTTACTGTTTTTATCTCAGTTTTATTGTTGAGTCAAAGATCATTCAAGAGCAGAATTTGCATTGTTTTGGGGCTTCCTTTTGGAGCTAATTTCCATTTTTATTCTACTGTGTTCTGGAGGATACTTCATGTGATTTCAGTTTTCTTAAATACACTGTGACTTGTTTTGTGCCCTATCATACGGTCTGTCTTGGAGAATGTTCCATGTGCTGGTGAAAGGAATGCATATTCTGTAGTTGTTGGGTGGAATGTTCTGTAAATATTTGTTGTTTATTCGATGGCATAGTTCAAGTCCATTTTTTTCTTTGTTGACTTTCTGTCTTGATGACCTTTCTAGTGCTGTTAGTGGACCATTGAAATTCCCCAGTATTATTGTGTTGCTATGTCATTTCTTAGGTCTAGTCATAATTGTTTTATGAATTTGGGAGCTCCTGTGTTAGGTGTGTATATATTTAGGATTATGATAGTTTTCCATCGGACTAATCCTTTTATCATTTATATAATGTCCCTCTTTGTCTTTTTTTTTAACTGTTGTTGCTTTCAAGTCTATTTTTTTGTGTGATATAAGAATAGCTTCTCCTGCTTGCTTTTATTTCCATTTGTGTGGAATATCTTTTTCCTCTCCTTTACCCTAAGTTTATTTGAGTCCCTTGAAGATACCAGATACTTGATCAGTGGACCTTTATCCATTCTGCCATTCTGTGTCTCTGAGTGGAGGATTTAGACCATTTACCGTCAACATTAGTATTGAGATGTGAGGTACTGCTCTATTCATTATGTTAGTTGTTGCTAAATACCCTTTTTCATTGTGTTATTGTTTATAGGCCCTGTGAGATTTATGCTTTAAGAAGGTTCTTTTTTGGTGCATTTCAAGGTTTTGTTTCAAGATTTAGAATTCGCTTTAGCATTTCTTACAGTGCTGGCTTGGTAGTGTCACATTCTCTCAGCATTTGTTTGTCTAAAAAACACTTTATCTCTCCTTCATTTCTGAAGCTTAGTTTTGCTGGATACAGAATTCGTAGCTGACAATTATTTTGTATAAGGGGGCTAAAGATATGACCCCAATCGCTTCTGGCTTGTAAATTTTCTGCCTAGAAATCAGCTGTTAATCTGATAGGTTTTTCTTTATAGTTTATATGATGCTTTTGTCTCACAGCTCTAAATGTGACATGGTAAAAAGCCCCATAAACCTGCATACCTCAACCATACCTTGGTTTTCTGTTGAAACTGCTCTCTGTAATGCAAATGTGACAGGCAGGCAGTCCAAACCCAAGCCATTCTGACTCCTGCGACTTGTGATTTCCACCCTACACAGGCAATGTGTAAACAAATGCTTATCTTGACTTTTGTGAACCACTTAAGTAACAATCGGAATGTCAGAAGTCCCCTGGCCCTCGGAATGTCCGGAGCCTCTCACCCTCATCTTCGCCTAGGAATCCACTGGATTGTCTGGAGCCCCTCACCCTCATCTCCGCCCAGGAGGTGATTTACAGAATCTACTAGTCTTTGGAATGTCTGAAATCCCTCACCCCCACCCCCGCCCCTCACCCTCACTCCTGAGGTGGTTTTATGGGTATGAAAGGTCTAGACACACTCCTTTCGGGGCCACGGGTTGGAGAGACATGAGTCCTCCATGGCTGCTGGCAATAAAGACCCTGCAATTTGGCATAATTTTGTCTTGGTGTTGACTTTCTATACTCAGTTCAGGACAACATAAAGATTCTTTCATTCTTCCTGACTTTAGATAACCAGATGACTATACCTAGGTGATAATCCTTTTGTGATGAATTTCTCAGGAGTTCTTTGAACTTCTTGTTTTTGGATGTGTAGATCTCTAGCAAGGCTAGGTAAGTTTTCAATTATTCCCTCAAATAAGTTATTCAAACTTAGATTTCCCTTCTTCCTCAGCAACACCAATTATTCCTACCTTTGGCCATTTAACATAATCCCAAATTTCTTTGAGCCTTTGTTCACTTTTTTAGAATTATATTTTCTTTATCTTTTACAGATTGGGTTAATTTGAAAGCCTTGTCTTTGAGCTCTGGAGTTCCTTCTTCTACCTGTTCTAGTCTCTTGTGGAAACTTCCCACTGCATTTTGTATTTCCCTAAGTGTGTCTTTCATTTCTAGTTGTGATTTTTTTTCTTTATGATATCTGTTTCCCTGTAACATTTTTTATCCATATCCTGCATTTTTTTTGAAGTTTTTGTTTGTTTTCAACTTTCCCTGGTTAATAATCAACCTTTTGAGTTCTTTATCTGGCAATTCAGAGATTTCTTCTTTGTTTGACTTTATTGCTAGGGAGTTACCATGATCTTTTGGGGGTGATAGAGATCTGGTTTTTTTTTTTTTTTTAACATTACCAGAATTTCTTTTCTGATTTCTTCTTATTTGGGTAGACTATTACGTAAAATTGTTCTTGAATTTATTTTTGATTGGATTTTAAAAAATCTAAATTTCTTTTTTTCCCTCTTAAGGATTAGACTTTAATGTTTATTTTAGCCTAATTTGACTCTTGGTGCTTTTAGGAGTGAAGACTGTGTGAGTTCCTTAGTTACAGAGAATCTTTTTGTGCTGGCTTTTCCGACGCTAGCTCTAACAGTTATATTGTTGATGTGTGGGTGAATTCCCTGTCTCTTATGGAGTTAGAATGGCAGGGATCTCTTGAAGCATATCTCATTCTCTTGTGGTATACACTTTAGATGGTGTGAAGCGCTGGGAAGGAGGAGGATGAGATGGGGGGCAGATGGGAGCCAGCTCTCAGGGGCCTCTGCTGAGACCTGGGGAATGAGAAGAGCCCCCAAGGTGCAGCGATGAGGAGGAATGGAAGATGAAGATAAAATATGTGTCCTGAGGCAATAAAAGCCCTGCTGTGTTGTAAGAGCTGGGAGAAAGTGTAAATAGAAAGAGTAGCAGTGGAGGGAGGAGCTGGTGAAGAGGAAGAGAGAGGCAGAGGTTGGGTTAGCAGGGTCTTGTCAGGGCCAGCATGAGGAGCCCATGGGTGGATTCTTTGAATCCGCATGACCAATATGAGGACTGCAGGGGTGGGCCTTTGAATCCACATGACCAGCATGAGGACCATATGGCTGGGCCTTCAAATCCTCATGACCAGCATAAGGACTGCATGGCTGGATCCTCTGAATCTACATGACCAGCATGAGGGCTTTGTGGGTGGATCCTTTGGATCCACGTAACCAGCATGAGGGCCACATGAGTGGACCTTTGAATACCCACAGCCTGCATGACCACTGGATGTTGGGGTGCTTGCCCGTCACTTTCTAAGCAGGTCTGTTGTCTATGCCTTCAGGTGCAACTATTGCCTGCCTGCAGTGGGGTGTGGGGTACAGCAGAATCAAGGATGATCCCAGTGTTATTCCCACGTTTCTGAAATGATTATGTTGTGAAGTTAAGTGTAAAGTTGGATGAAGAGCTTGTGTTTGTGAGTGTTTCATTAGTTTATGCTTTATAAAACATAGCCAGTGAGTGACTGATTATAGAACCTATGATAGCTTAACTGTAATTACATAGAGCGTTGTGAAATTGTTGATTAATCTCAGGTTAGCTATGGGAGATGTGAGTTCCAATTGCAGTTTCCCAATAACTGCTTTGCTGTGGTCAATTCCGAAAATAACTTTGTGTTTTAGTCATTGATACCAGTAACTGGTTTCAGTAACCGATGTTTAGAATGCTAAGTGTCAGCACTGTACCCATGGCATATGGATCACTGTTTAGTCTTTGCCTCTCAGTAACTGTTTCATTTTACGGTTGTGGAAGCTTATTCAGAAAGCCTAAGCAAGGTAAGTGGGGATAGGAGGATTTGAGTCAAGGTCTGCTTAATTGGAAAGCCCATGAGAGGAATGGAGCAGTTGTGAATGTGGAACCTCCAGAGGTTTTAGTAGATTTCTCTTCTTTTTCTTGGGGTGAGGAAAGTTGAATAAATAGGTATGATGTGGCATGTGTGTGTGGTCACACTAGTAACTATCGGTAGATAATAGACTTTTTATCTATATTAAATATGACACCTATAGTCATCTTGTATGTACTTTTTGTTTTCAGATTGAAGATGGAAAATCCCCAAGACATTTTCTCAAGTAATGGTGGCTGTGTACGTGATATAGTTATAGAGAAATACCTGGTTGAATCCAAGGAGTCTGCTTCTCATGTTCAGCTTGCTTGCAGCATGCAGCACTGTGCTTTCCCTTTGGATGGGAATGAACTTTGCATATGGAACACCGAGGATCCTTCTCATCAGGTATTTTACAAGTGTTATGTTCAGTGTCATGGAGGCCTTGCCCTTGACTTTCCATGTCTTTGATACTGTTTGGACAGCATTACCTTCTGTGGATTCAGCTACCAGCTATAGGAGAGAAATATTGATAAAAATATCACATTACATTTTTTTTTTCGATTTAATCCTTCAGCTAAGACAGCGGAAGAGGTGATTTATTTTATGGTTGTTACACTCGGCCACAAGTAAACACAGAAATAGTCCAGAATGTCACAGGTCCAGGGCAAAGGACCAACATGGGCAGTTTTGGTTATGAGCAAGGTGGGTCTCAGAGGTGATCGGCGATCAAATGGCGATGAAGTTCTAGATCCATTGAGACAAGCTCTAGACAGTAGCATGCAGTCCCACAACTTGTACCAGCATCAGCAGTGCCCGGCATTCCATGTTTCTGCTCCTGTGGCCTCCACAGTGCAACAAGTAGCGGTTTACTTGGACCTCTGCCTCATCTTTCTTCTTTTGCGCTTCAGCCTGTGCATTCGTTTCTTCCTCCACTTGGCTCTCATGGCGCTAAGGCCGAGAGCCACATTACATTTTTATATTTAGAACATGAGATATCTGGAATTACTTAATTAAAAATTTTTTTTCAGTAATAAGCTGATCAAGAAAAGGTTCATGTTAACATAATCACATCTCCTACCTTTGGATATCCATATTGACTTTTCTCACTTTTTTCAGTGAAGTATAAACTACATAGAAAAAAAATTCCATGTAACAAGTGCACATTGTAATGACTATAACTAAATGAATATGCTTAGGTAACCACCATAGGTCATGCCTCTTCTCCATCAACACCCAGTTCTCTCCTTCCCAGAAGGCAACACTATCTTGACTTCTAACATAGGTTAGTTTTGCTTTTGATGAACTTTATATAAATGAGATTATATATTATGTACTTTTTTGTGCTTATCTCTTTGATTAACCAGCATATTTATGAGATTCATCCAGTTGTTCATTTTCATTTCTGTACAGTATTATATTACGTGAACAGACCTCACTTTATCCATGCTTCTGTTGGTAGACATTTGTTGTATTTTCATGTTTTTGGCTGTTACATTCTTTCCTGTGTGTTTGGGTGCACACACACATACAATTGCTGAGTTGTAAGGGATATATAAACAGTCGACTCCCGAAGAGCCTGGGTTTGAACTGTGCTAGTTCAGTTATACACAGATTTTTTTCAACCCAGTGTGGGTCAAAACTATAGAATTTGCAGGATATGAAAACTGCATATTTGGAGGGGCACCTTTTCATATACGTGTATTCCATACAGCCAACTGTGGGATGTGAGTGTGCACAGATCTTGGTTTATGTGGGGTTCCTGGAAGCAATCCCTCATGATAGTGAATGATGTCTCTATTCAGTAGGTAATGCCTAGCAGATTTCCAAAGCGACTGTACCAATCTATATTTCTTCTAATGGAATGTGAGTTTTAGTTGATCCGTGTCTTCACCTATACTTGTTTATTTTTATTTTAGCCTTTCCAAAAGGGTCTAGTGTTACCTAATTATAATTAGTAATTCTGTGATTATTAATGAGGTTTAGCACTTTTTTGCACATTTATTGGCCGTGTAGATATTCTTTTTTGTGATATATGTATTCAGTTCTTGTCATTTTTACTCTTGGATTATCTATATGTTTTCTATTGATTTGAAGGAGTTCTTTATATTATAAATGTAGGATTTCTCTCCCTTTAGTTTACATTTTCTAGAGTTTTATGTAAATAGAGTCATATGGTAATTTAATTTTTTTATTGACATGTAATAGTTGTACATACTTTGGGGGTATATGTAATATTTTGATACAAGTATACAATGTGTTATGATCAAATCAGAATAATTGGGATGGCCATCACCTCAAACATTTACCTTTTTATTGTGTTGGGAACATTCTAGTTTTTTTCTTCTGAAAATTTTGAATTACATAGTAAGTTATTATTAACCATAATTTTCCTACTATACTATTGAATACCACAACTTATTCTTACTATCTAACTACTTTTTTTATTCTTTTGCCCACTTCTTTTCATTCTCCCCACTTCCTGTCCTAGCCTCTGGTAACCACCATTCTACTCCCCACTTCCATAAGATCCACTTTTTAAGTTTCCACATATGAGTAAGAACATGTGATATTTGTCTTTCTGTGTCTGGCTTATTTTATTTAACATAATGACCTCCAGTTCCATCTGTGTTGCTGCAAATGACAAGATTCAGTCTTTTTTATGGCAGAATAGTATTTTGTTGTGTATATATATCACATTTCTTTATCCATTTGTCTGTGGATGGACACAGTATTCCACTGCATATATATATCACGTTTCTTTATCCATTTGTCTGTGGATTCATATCTTGGCTGTTGTAAATAGTGCTGGAATAAATATGGGAGTGCATTATTATATAATATGCTATTTTTCTCTTTGTATAGCTTTTAACTTGATGTCTGTTTTATCTGCTGTAAGTATAGCTACTCCTGTTTGCTTTTGGTTTCCATTTGCATGAAATATATTTTTCCATCCCTTCACTTTCAGACTATGTGTGTCTTTATTGCTGAGATAAGTTTCTTGTAGTCTACATATAGTTGGGTCATATTTTTTGTTTTATTTAGCCAATCTATATCTTTTAAATTGGGAATGTTATTTATTTACATTCAGGGTAATTGATAGGTAAGGAATCACTCCTGTCATTTTATTTATTGTTTTCTATTTGTCTTGTATATCTTTTGTTTCTTACTTCTTGTCTTATTGTTTATTTCCTCAGTTGGGTTTTCTATGGATTTGATTCCTTTGTCTTCCTCCTTTGTGTATTGGTTCTACCAGGGAATTTAATGTTTCTTATGTTTTTATGATGGTGATTATCATCTTTATACTTCCAGATATAAGACTCCCTTGAACCTGTCTTGTAAGACCAGTCTAGTGGTGATGAATTCCCTGAGTTTTGTTTGTCTCCGAAGATTTAATTTATCCTTCATTTCTGAAAAATAGCTTTGCTGGATACAATATTCTTGGCTGCAGTTTATTTGCTTTCAGTACTTTGAATATAGCATCCTATTCTCTCCTGAACTGTAAGGTTTCTGCTAGAAAATATGGCGTTAGTCAAATGGACATTCCCTTATATGTGACTTGCTGCTTTATTCTTGCTGCTTTAATTTTGTGTCTTTGGATTTTGACAATTTGACAATAATGTAACTCTAAGAGGACTATTTGGATTGAAACTATGTGGTAATTTGAGCTTCGTGGACCTGGATTTCCATCTCTTTCCCAAGACATGAGAAGTTCTCTGCTATGATTTATTAAATATGTTTTCCTCACCTTCTCCCTTATCTTCTTTTGCTGGAATGCCCATATCATGAATATTTATTTGCTTACTGATGTCTCATAAATCATGAAGGCTATCTTCATCCTTTTTTATTCTTTGTCTGCTGGTATTATTTCAGAAGTTCTGTCTTCAAGTTCAGAAATTCTTTCTTCAGCTTGATCAAGCTAGTTGCTTAATATAGTTGTTAAAGCTCTCAATTATATTTTTAAATTTTATTCATTGAATTCTTTAGGATTTATTTTTTTTTAAATATCCATTTCTTTGTTGAATTCTCATTCAAATCATGAGTTGCTTTCCTGATTTTGTTGAATTGTCTATCTGTATTCTCTTGAATTTCAATGAGTTTTCTTAAAATTATTATTTTGAATTCTTTTTCTGACATTTCATATATATTTTTTAACTGTTTTAATTTTTATTTTTTTTAATTATACTTTAGGTTCTGGGGTACATGTGCAGATTACACAGGATTGTTGCATAGGTACACATGTGGCAATGTGGTTTGCTGCCTCTATCCCTGTCACCTACATCTGGCATTTCTCATCATGTTATCCCTCCCCAACTTCCCCACTCCCCCTACTGTCATATGCCTATGTCTTGAATGGTTTTGCCTAGGTTTCCTTCTAGTCCCCCGCTACTGTCCTCCCTTGCCCCCAACAACAGACCCCAGTGTGTGATGCTCCCCTCCCTGTGTCAATGTGTTCTCATTGTTCATTTCATTACCTGCCTATGAGTGAGAATATGTGGTGTTTGATTTTTCTGTTCTTGTGTCAGTTTGCTGAGAATGATGGTTTCCAGATTCATCTATGTCCCTACAAAGGATACAAACTCATCTTTTTTATGGTTGCCTAGTATTCCATGGTGTGTATGTGCCATGTTTTCCTTGTCCAGTTTATCATTGATAGGCATTTAGATTGGTTCCAGATCTTTGCTATTGTAAACAGTGCCGCTATGAACATATGTGTGCATGTGTCTTTATAATAGAATGATTTATAACCCTTTGTATGTATACCCAGTAATGGGATTGCTGGGTCAAATGGAATTTCTATTTCTAGATCCTTGAGGAAGCACCACACAATGGTGCTTCCACAATGGTTGAACCAGTTTCCATTCCCACCAACAGTGTAAAAGTGTTCTTATTTCTCCACATCCTCTCCAGCATCTGTTGTCTCCAGATTTTTTAATGATCGCCATTCTAACTGGCATGAGGTGGTATCTCAATGTGGTTTTGATTTGCATTTCTCTAATAATCAGTGATGAACATTTATCATATGTTTGTTGGCCTCATATATGTTTTCTTTTGAAAAGTATCTGTTCGTATCCTTTACCCACTTTGGATGGGTTTGTTTTTTTCTTGTATATCTTTTTAATTCTTTGTAGATTCTATTTTGTTCTTTGTAGTTCTTTGTAGATTCTTTAGTTCTTTGTAGGCCTTTGTCAGATGGGTAGATTGCAAAATTTTTTTTCCATTCTGTTGGTTGCAGGTTCACACTAATGATTGTTTCTTTTTCTGTACAGAAGCTCTGGAGTTTAATTAGGTCCCATGTATCTATTTTGGCTTTTGTTGCCAATGCTTTTGATGTTTTAGTCATGAAGTCCTTGCCTATGCCTATATCTTGAATGGTTTTGCCTAGGTTTCCTTGTAGTTTTTTTTTT